GTGTTTGTGTGTTGAAGCCATTAGTGTGTGTGTGTGTGTGTGTATGTGTGTGTGTAGATGCATGTGTGTTGATGTCCCAGTCTGTGCCGTGTATATTGTGTGTGTTGTATGTGCTGTGTGTGTGTATCAGTGTGTGTATGTGTGGGTGTGTGTTGAAGCCATCAGTGTGTGTGTGTGTGCGCGCGTGTATCAGTGTGTGTGTGTTATGCGCTGGGTGTGTCTTAGAGAGAGAAGAGATAGCTGGGTTTGGTGTGTGTGTGTGTGTGCATGGTGTCTTGTGTCTGCTAGAGAGAGAAGATATGTGTGTGGCTGGGTCTCCATGTGAGAGAGAGAGAATGCTGAGAGAGATGAGTGGTGTCTAAATGAGGGTAATTACGTCTTTCAGAATTTTTCAGGACTAAACGGTTTACTAGAATAAAAATGGGACCAATTGGTTCATAAGTTTACATTTTGGGATTTATTGGTAAATCTCCCTATTTTTTTTTCCTTATAAATATTTTAGTCGCCAATTAATTTAGAATATTTAGTCACTAATTAATTTAGAACCCCTCTAAAATTCGAAATTCCCCCCACCCCAAACTTGTAGTTATAAATTTTTGACGACCAAAAAAGATAGAAAGTAATTTTTTTTTATTCGGCGACTAAATAATTTTAGTAGCTAAAACTAACTCTATTTTAGTCGTTGAAAATAAATTTTGGTCCCCAAAGATAAAAAGTAATTTTTTGTTTTCATTTGGCGACTAAATAATTTTAATAGGCAAAACTAACTCTACAGCTACTAAAATATGTTTCAGACGCTGAAAATATATTTTTAGTGACCAAACGTTTAGTCGCCAAAGATAAAAAGTAATTTTTTGTTTTCTATTCGGCGACTAAATAATTTTAGTAGCCAAATCTAACCCTACAGCCACTAGAAAAAAAAAATTTGTCATCAATTGTGACATTTTTAGTAACTAAATTTTTTTTAGTCGCCAATAATCAATATACCCCGACTAAAAAAAAAAAGTAGCTAAATCTTGTACTTTTGCTGACTAATATAATTTTTGCTGGTCAATTCCAGAACTTTTGGTGACTAAATTTTTTTTAGTCACCAAATTTGGTCGCCAAAAGTGTAATTTCCTGTAGTGTGTTTGGGTACATGTAAAACAAATTAAAAGAGCAATTGGGATTTGTGATGTCCCGGATCCTGGACTCAACTGATATTGCGTAGTCAGATGGTTTGTTTTACTTTCGGCACTTTGATTATCATATTGAGTTGTGGAGATTTCAATTTCGTTCTTACTTAACTTCTCTTACTGTTTCCAAGTAACAATTTTGAGGGTGGCTGTATTTTAAGTGTACAGATAAGATGTGTGAGTACTTTGCGTTGGGAGCGGCTCCTACTGGGAATGCATCAAATATCCAAATGAGAAGTAAAGCTATTCATACGAAGAATGAAGATGAGAGAGGGTATGATTATGATTTTGAGAGAAGCAATGAAGTTGTGAATAGATTGGAACGAGTTGAGGCAAACCAAGAAGCTATGAAATTGATTATGTTCACAACCATAGTGTTAGTTGGTTTTACCATGCTAATAGTGCTACTCAAGTGAATGTAACCATTTTTTTTTTCTCTCCGTGTGTATGTGTTTTTTTTTGGGTTTTGAATTTAGTAAACCTTAAATTATGAGTTTTGATATGTAAAGCTTAATGAAATTACATATGCTATGTCAATAGTGATGTGCTTCTTTTTTGCTTCTGTCAATGAAAGTTGTACAGCTTTGAAGTTGCTTTCTAATTCAATCTTTTCTAATGCAAAAGGATATTGAGATTTGTTATAAGCAAGATATTGAGATTTGTTATGCCTAAGGCAGGTGTTATTTGAGATGCAAATCAATTCAAATTAGAGATGTGAACTCCATGACTTATTAAAATTGAGAAAGTCTACTTGATCAATTTGTCTATAAAAAAGGAAATTAAAGTAAATGCATTCAAAAAGCAAAATTTTTTGAATAAAACTTGTCAGTTTATACTTGAAACATGTAATAATCCGACCCTCGCACATGATTTCTGATATATTCTCAGTCCTTGATTGGTACTTTTAAATGTTTACTATAAAATTCCATGAAAGATTACGGTTAAGTAAGTGAAATCTATGTTTATGAATGCCTATCCGTTGCACAAGAAAACTATCTGTTACCATTAACACGGTTGAATTAGAAATTGGAAGCCTTAACGGCTTAATTATCGGAAATTGATTATATATCTGTGATTAGCATAATTTTTAAGTAATATTAAGCATGTTTACGAAATTTTAATTTTGGAATGATTAAACGATTAAATTTTGTCTTATATGTCATTATTTATGAATATATATATCTAAGCCTCTTGAGCCTTGATAAAAAACGTGAAGTATCTTTTGGAGAGAATAAGGGTTTGGAAAGAAGAGAACAAAGACAAGGTTCATCAAGGAAGAGAAGTGGGATTAAGTTAGGAGAATCTTTGAATTTTTCAAGCTTAAGGTATATTAAAATTTATTGTACATGAACCTTCTCCCTTTAATTGTGAAGGAAGGTTTGTTTATAATTTATGTTTGATGATTTAGGGTTATGGAGAAGTGTTCATAATTTATGTTGATTGAAGAGGATACTCATCAATTGGTTGTTTTGACATGAAATTATGCCTCAATCTTTGTTTCTCATGTTAAACTCATGAAAATATATTTATGTAATGTATGATGTTTTAATAAACATGAGGAACTTGACTTAAAAATAGAATTTAGAGGATTTGTAACTTGAATAAGCTCTTACTCATATGTATTTTATGATGCTCAAGTTCTAGTACATGCTATGGTAGAAGTTATACTTCAATCCTTGGTTTTATGCCATGTATCATGTGTTATGATTTATGAACATAAAAGAACTTAAGTGAAAAGATGGAATTTGAAAAACAAATAGGGACTTGATCAAGCTTTGAATCATGTTACTTTGTGATATTTCAATGATAAATTATGTTATAGTGAAGTTGGGTTCAAGTATTGCTTTAATTTCATCTTGGGTTGCATGAAAAATGAAATGGTGAGGCTTGATTTTGAGTTGAAACCGAGCTGCCCCAAAACAGGGCCACGACCGCTCGAGCAGAGGCCACGGCCGCTCGAGCAGAGGAAGAAGAAAAATCTGAAAATGCATACTGTCTACGGCCGCTCGAGCGGAGGGGGATGACCGCACGTGCGGTGCATGGCCGCTCGAGCGGAAGGTCCGGCCGCACGTGCGGCTCGGGCTGGAAAAGTGGTTCACTTAATTTTGCGTGCTTGACTTGCCGGTATTTTGAGAATATTTTTCTGATGATTTAAGAGGGTTGTAACTTCATGCAAAGTGTAATGATTCAGGAAATGATTTAAGAGAGGAAAGAGAACTAATGTACAAGTTTTACGTGTGTGCAGGACACACTCCGGGAGGAAGTAACACGTCATCTCAACACTGTGAGTAGTAGTACGCTTTACTGCAGATAATGATTGCCCTTAGCATTCTATTGATGATAATTATGCACATGTTCTTAATGTTAATGCACGAATGTTCTTAATGTTAATGCATGAACGTTCTTAATATTAATGCATGATGATAAGAAGGTGAACATTTTGCCTGCTTTCATAAGTTTCAAGCATGTTTCAAGGGTCTCGTGCCATATGTTTCAAGGGCCTCATGCCACATGTTTCAAGAGCCTCGTGCCATAAGTTTCAAGCATGGTTCAAGGGCCTCGTGCCATATGTTTCAAGGGCCTCGTGCCACATGTTTTAAGGGCCTCGTGCCATCACGTTTCAAGGGCTTATAGCCACATGTTTATGTTGCAGGATTGGGCCTAAGGCCATTATGTACTTAACACAGAATCAGACTCACCACGTGAACTCTGCATCTTATTATGTATTGATGTATTTCATGATTGAAGTTCAACATCATTTATTATGTATTACTATTCACTGAGCCTAGCTCACTCTCTATAATGTCTGTTTCTGTAGGTCATCAATCCGGAGGTCAGTCTTAGCCTTGACGTCGCTTTCTTTTGTCAACCTTTACGTGTCCAGGCACTATCCAAGGCCATCCATTTTGTAAAGTTTTAACATGTTGCCTTGCTATTCAAGTGTCCATCTTAGGTTGATGTACATAACTTTTATGTTTTTTTGTATACGCCCAATCATGGGGTTGGGACTGTAAATGTATGTGTATGTAACCGTTATTCAGGGATTTAGTTTTAAACTTTGTTTGCCTTTGATGATATATGTGATGTATGAGATCCTGGCATATTAGAAATAGCTCAATGGAGTATATTGTATCTATGTTATGTCCGTATTTTTATGCTTCCGATAAGGCCCCGTAGGTTTGTATACCAGGTTATATGTCCATTTATGAATAGGTCATGCCCAAACTTTTAGAGGCAAGTAAGGGGGTGTGACAAAACATCTATCAATAGAACTCCACCAACAAATGGATATTGCAGGCAACAAGACATTCAAATTAAGTCAAATGAAAGACAAGTATTGTAGGTAAGATTTGGATAAGCACCAGAACCAACTATAAAATTAGGAAAGTGAAAAATTAAATTGCCACCCAACAATAAAGCTACACAAGCATGTCTGAACATCCTAGATTTGAATCTAGAACCAAAATTACAATATCCTACAACCTCTAATTTCAAACATTATCAGTATGATCTCCACATAAAAATCTTATTACTTAGGACAAATATTATCATACAATAAAAATCTCCAATATGATCTTCAAACATTATCCTACAATAATTAAATTGCATATTAATTGGAATAGATCTCTCTAAAACAAATATTAGGACAAAAGGTCTCCAACATAGATAAAATCAACTTCTCAAGGATGTCCATCTACATGACTATCAGCAGGACTATGTGAGGCTTGCGCGACTTGGACTACAAAGTGTTGAACACTTGTATCTTGAAGCAACTCGTGAAAGGATGTGTGAGTGGGATAGACAAAAAGCATTGACCGAGGTGTGTTATTTCCCTGCAATAGAGCTAAATTTATTAAAATTTTATTACAATGTATAGTACCCTTTTAATGTAAAGTATGTAACCAATGATAACTCATATCATGTGTACCATACATAAGAGGAGGACCACATGTATCACCCATGACAACTTGAGCTTGAGGTTGAGATTGACAAATATAGGCACCATGACCATGATCCTAAATACAACCAATATAAACGAAAACAAAAATTTATGAAATAAAAAGAAATATTATTTAACATTTTCTTAAAAGGTTGCACACAAATAAATATTACCTGAATAGAATTACTACCCATGATGAAACGAGATTGAGAGTGACCTTGGGAAGTATAAACAGCAGTACCCTATATATAGGTAATACAGACAAATTAAAAACCATCACCTGACTACATTGCAAGGCAAACCAATTAAAGATAAGAAAAATTAAAAGTATTCAGATAGTTCATAATTTCATACAACTAGAGAGAGGACTCAATGAAATGAATTCATAAAACTAACCATAGAAAGACCACATTACTATTGAATATTACCTAAATAGAATTATTTCCCATGCCGAAAAGAGGCTGAGATTAACATTGGGGAGTATAAACAACAACACCCTACATACAATGAAAAACCATAATCCATAGCACAAAATTGCTAGGTGCCATTACAGATAAATGAAAGTGGGTCATTAATAATAATATAAAAAAAAAAAAATCATTGTTTTAGTTCATTAATCTAGTGCATTTTAATCATAAGCAATTTTTCATGTAAGTACCTGACTAGATTGCATTCTCTTCTTCTTTGCAATAGATTTTTCCATCCCACCTTTGATCCTCCTTCTTCCCTTACTAGTTGATTCTCTTTTCTTGAGTCCCTTAGCTTGAATTGGACAATCTATTTCATCACTCTATGGGCATGTGTTACTTGACGAATTTCTCAAATCAGTTACCTCCACTTGACCACAAATGTGGACACTTAATTTGTCTTCAACCATTACGCTCAATACTTCACCTTTTAAAACTGACAAATGATAAGTTTTTTCAGTTTTAGTGGCTCTACTTGCTATTGCTCTAAACATAGTCATTAATGATCGATATCGATCGCTTTGATGTAGTTTCACATCAGCCTTCACTTCATACCCACGTCTATCTTTCACACTGTCAGCCCTTGCTTTTTTAGTCCATCGTTTGAGTATATATTGTGGAGGAAGTTCCGTTGCATTGAATATATCTCTAAGCACCTTCACACAATGTCGACACAATATGTCCTTCACTTCAAACTTCCTGCAACTACAACTAAAAGAACCATCTTTATCCATTGTCACATTCTTATCTTTTTTTCCCATTTACCACTGTTCTTATTGTAAATATGGTACTCTCACCATCATTAATAATGCCTATAATTAATGCTTCAATGGACTGCATGTACTTATTTTTTAATTCCTCAAAATTGTTTTGGTGTAAATCTCTGCCACTTGCTTTAACATCAAAGTTGGAATTTAAACCCTCAATAATTTTTGGGACAAATTATACTCGGCTTCCAATTCTTTATACCTCTTCTTATAGAGCACCCTCTCAAAATGCATGAAGAACTCCATCAAGTTATGGTCACAATTCAGATAATCCTTCAAAAATGCATTGAAGGATTCACTAAGTTGAGTAATACTCTTTCCAACTGCCCAAGAATTCATAATATATGGTCATCCCCATTTCTCCTTCACGCGAAAAGCCTGCTCTAACTAATGATGTCGCATGCATCATACTTATCAAGCATTTGGTCCCATTGTATTCGAAATTCTTCTTTGTCATCAACGTCATGCATAAATTTTGAAAACATAGTCTTGACCCCTACATCATCGAAAATAGAACTTACATGCTTGACATCATTTTGCATCAAATGCCACACACAAAGTCGATGGTTTGTATTGGGCATGACAACTGGAATGGCCTTAGCCATCGCAGTATCTTGATCTATGAAAATAGTTTTAGGAGCTTTGTTTGACATTGCCTCCAGGAAAATTTGAAACAACCATGTAAAAGATTCGGCAGTCTTATCATACATCAACGCTACACCGAATATAACTATTTCTCGATGATGATTAAATCCAACAAATGATCCAAAGGTCTATGCTCGTTATTTAATTTGTAAGTAGTGTCAAAGGTCACTACATCACCAAATTGATCATAGTCCATAATCATTTGAGACTCGGCCCAAAATATATTACTTATCTGTTGTTCACAATCTAATTGGACTGCATAAAAAAAGAATGGATTTTCCACAGTTTTCTTACGAAAGTAATGCAACACACTAACTACTTCTCCATATTCTAAATCTTTTTGTCTCTTTGATCTTAAGTATTTTTTTTTTGGGTCCAATTTCGTGAAGCCAAATGATGCTCTTCCACCAGATTTCCTACCAAATAGCTCATAAGCAAACCTAAAAGGACATTGTCTACAACAATCACGACTATCCTCCACCGATAGCCCAAAGCAGTTATTTCTAAACAGAAAATAAATGCACAAATGGATATTCAATCAACATTTCATTTCCTCACTTCTCCCAATTAATTATCCCAATTAATCAGACAATGTAATTAGGTCAATTCCCATAATTACCATTACGACCCTTAGGTCCCATTTTCATCAATGATTCAACATTTATTCCATTTCTCTATGCCAAACATGCATTTAGGCTTATTATAAATAAAATCCTAACTTTTGTAAAATTACACAAAAGCCCCAAACTTTCACCAAATTACCAAACCAAGCCCAACATCTCAAAATACTAAAATTTAAAGACAAAACCCATAGAAAGGAGTAGGATATCCCTACCTCGAAGTTTGAGCCAAAAAGGAGATGAAGACTCGAAGATCAACGTGCTCCAAATCCAAACTTTTTCAGATTAAATCGAAGCTCTCAACGCCCTCTAACTTTTTAACAAAGGCCCTAGGCTAGATTCACACTCTAGGGAGATCAAATCTTTAGAGAGAATGTATGTTTAGAGAGAGAGAGTCTCGGATCAAGGGTTTGAAAGAAAAAGAAGGTGAAAAAGTGATGTTCAAAAATGCTACTGTCCGCTGATATAAAACACGCTCGCTCGAGCGAAGACTCTGTCGCTCGAGCGACCAGACACAGCCTTTGTCGCTCGAGCGACCAGACACAGAAAACTCTCGCTCGAGCCAAAAACTCAAAAGTGCGCTCGAGCGAAAGAATGCTCGCTCGAGCCAACAACTCAAACCCTCAGGTCTGCAACTAGCACGCTCGAGCGACAGACTTCTCGCTCGAGCGAAGGAAGCTCGCTCGAGCCACGAAAGGCAACTCTCAGGTCCAGAACCAGGCGTAATCGCTCGTTCGAGCGAAGCCACCCTGGCTCGATCCACCAGACACGAACCCCAATCTCGCTCGAGCGACCAACTCCTCGCTCGAGCGAAGGTCCAAAAATCGGGGCAGCAGCACTAGGCACCGCTCGAGCGAAGCCACTCTGGCTCGACCCACCAGACACAAACTCAACTCTCGCTCGAGCGACCAACTCCTCGCTCGAGCGAAGGTCCAAATATCTGGGCAGCAGCACTAGGCTCCCAAACACAATCAACCTGTAACAAACCTGCCCAACCTCGCTCGAGCGAAGGTCCAAATATCTGGGCAGCAGCACTAGGCTCCCAAACACAACCAACCTGAAAAAAACCTGCCCAACACATCCTATAACTCAAATACGAAGTAAAAAAAGATACAACCAAGATAATAAACAATTACCAACATCCACGGACACATGTCCGGATCACTGAACAACAAGGGTAAACCCGGGATTGCTATAACCTCCCCTCCTTAAAGAATTTCGTCCTCGAAATTAAGGATACGCCAAGACACAAGGCCAATTAATCACAGAGCATTCAACAACCGAGTCCCCACAGAAAGAAATTACTTTCACAACAAACCTCCGACTTACTCTTAGCAAGGAAGATACTAACCAAGGAAACACATTCTAAACGACCACTCCTTAGGTACGCAAACCTCAACAAACCAAACTTCCCCCGAAACAATTCACCAACAACCGACTAGCACTCCAAGCTAAGTCACAACTCAACAACACGACCAAAGCAAATCTTTAGAGTAGATAATAAGAAAACATTTTCTTGTTCAAGAGGCATTTCCCAAAGATGTTCTAATTTTCAACGTTGATGTTCCGGAATAAATCTTGCATGTTCCATACGAAAACTCAAAAGCTTTGTAAACATTTTTTTTTTTTAAACTTTGAATTAAATCGACTTTTCAACAATACATCCAGACAGTCCCAAACACTAGGAAAAGTTTGCTTTCTATTTCTTTCCAAAGTGACACTATCAACAACCATCACTCACATGGTGATGCCACAACCAACATGGGACACAACATTTCTATAATGATAGTTAATAGAAACAACAACAGTACTATCAACACATAAGGTATAAATACGGCTCAGGACCTGGCCACCAACCAAATGAGATCACATCTCATCCCCACAATATCCCCCTTTAACACACAAATGATACACATCTTAGTGCTGTATCAATATCAAACCAAACATCATACATACATAATGTATAAGAGCCAATCATTCACAATGATCAATTAATACATATGTTAGATGTATTATTCCAACCGTCAGATTTTACGCCAAAACATGTTCGATTAGTTTCAGTTTTCCCTAATCAACATACAAAATTTACAACCAACGAGACTAAACTCAAGGCAACCAATACCAACCCGAAACCCGTTACCGACAAGCTGACTAACCAACTCAATAGACTCTACACTCAGTAATCCACACACTGACGTGCCACTCTAGCCACTGACCCCAACCACGGAGTTCTCTACACAAACCACAAATTGTGGAGCCGCTCCGGATCTCCTAAAACTGAACCACATCAACACTACGTCTAAGGGAATCACCATTCCCCGCCATGGCTATCTAGCAAGCCTGCTCACTTCCTTGACCAAAGACCGACATGGTCAACCTCAATCACAACAACCCGAACAAGAAGGACCACCTTGACCAACGCTATACTCACTACTTTAGAACATAAACTGCCCTTCCTTCAAAGAATGCTACTAGCATCCACTCACAACCCAAACCCAATAATTGATAACCAATCACAACTCGAACGCTACCCTTATACAACCAATGGGGTTACCACGGACTCACTAACTAGCAAGACCCAAAACACGAACCGACATACAGGTACCATTTCTACTAACTCGAGATACAAATCTCACATTCCCTCGAACATTCTCACATAGTCTTGCCAACACCGCGCAATTCTCGCAACCATCACATATAACCATCACATCAAATCTTCACATCTTGCCTGCCACTCATCCCGAGAGTACCCTCCAGAGGCCCAGCCTCCGTGCTAAACCACTAGTCAAAACTACCGCTAGGCAACCATCATCAACCAAACCCCGACACCACTACAGGTCGCAGACAAGGCTTTCAAGGATTCACTCTTCTAACTATCCAGCAGAGTAAAGGTTCTCACTCTCCTTGCCATTAACCCACATCTCCATCCGCAAACACCATACCATTGTGACTCCATCCACGGATCACACCCCAACTACGGACTGTACACCCAATCAACCCTTACGATGGCATCTCCCGACCTAACCAGTGTCAAGGTACAAACCTATCACATTCGATCAAAATAAAGGAGCCCCAAAACTTAGAAAATACCCATATACTACTGCCCGAGATATAGCACCAACTGCTTACAATACAATCCTCCCCGACACAACCATCACGACCTTATATAGGGACTGACATCCCCTCCCTTAAAACGGCCAATCAGTACACCTGTAATCTCGGCAACGCTACTTACCACAAAGGTACAAGTCCAACCTTCACAAAATTATACGCTATGCCCCCGTAGGACACCATATCAAATACGTGCTACATCTAGTACTAATCGCACACTTCACATCCTCCCCAATATTGCCTTGGCTAGGACACGCACCCCTCGGTGGTTCTTTCAAATTTGAAAACATGGCTCCTCTGCCCTCATCTTTCCCAATCAAGTCACACGCCTAATACCAAAAAAAAAATTTTTTTTGTGGTTTTACAGCAACTTTATACATTAACAAAACTTCAGAGCTACAACATGCTCCAATTCACCCATTCCAGGGAAATTAACAAACCAAGCACATATGTATACATATAGACAAACAAGCAGTTTAGATGTTTCAACATTCCCAAAACACATTGGTTACACAACGGAACCCAATGATCACAAACGATAATTCACCGATTACAAAACGGATTAGCCAAAACGAAACCAACCCCTCGGTATTACCACCACTGCCGTCCCTCGCTGGA